ATGCCGAATACATTCCTTGGATCAGTGAGTGTAATTTTTTTGTTTAAAGGAACTGATGAGGTCCTAAAGCTATATAAATCATAAAATTTAAATATCTTACATCAAGGTCTTTCTTTCAAATAGAATGGTCTGGAGACAGACCAATTTTACGAAAAATGATGTCTCGGTTGAGTCAAGTGATTAGGTTATCTACCGACCGTGATATGGCATAGCACATCACCATTCAAAAATCAAATTATAAGATAATGTTTTGTTAAATCAATCAAAAAATTACTAAAAACTAACTCTGAATACATTATATTACCAGTTTTTTCTTTAAAAGTAACAATTTTATAGATTTGCAATGAAATTAGAAATGTTTCGTTCCCAGTGTCAAGGTAAAAATCTACTGCTCACATTTGAAAATAGGTCCGAGTTTCATGAGCTTTCTTTAAATTTATGCATTGCTCAATGACAAAATAGAAATTGATTTTACAGAGAAAAGATGTTACTAAATCGTATCATGTAAAAATATTATAATATTTCACGATGTTATTTGCAAATATTTGATGTTTAATTTGGTGCATTTTCAAAATGGCGCCGATTATCGGCTAATATTCTGAACAAACAATCTATGTTTTGTAACAAAAATGGCTTTAAAAAACATCATTTCCTGAAATAGTAATTTATCCTTTTTTCAAAAGTTTAAAGATTTTTAAATAACATCATGTCGTTAAAACTTTCAGTTTTGCTCGTGTATTTAATATTCGCCATTTTCTTGAACACTTACATAATTTGCTTATAGCAAACTATACCGATTTATAACGAGACATGTATAATTGTAGCGAGAAGGGTTTACATAGCGCGTTTCCAGACCATTCTATTTGAAAGACATTGCTTACATAGATCAGTTGCGTCTATTAAACAGACGGATATGCAAAATATAATTAAGAATTATATACTCAGAAGAAAAATTATTTCCAGTCCCATCGTGTCAAAAAACATCAATGGAACCCCTTTACGCTGGGACTTCAACAGGTCTTATAAAATGTCCAATATCAACATAATTCAACAGTTTGATATGTTCACCGTTAAATCACGCTATTTATGCTATATAATATTATATATTATGCTTCTCTGCTTTGTGGGAAACCAACATAGAATGTCTAGTGTACATGTATTTAACACAAATGAATATTGTTCGTTGTTCTGGAGCAAACTTAAGCGTTTGAAATTATTTTTTGTCCAATAGGATTAGTTTATACAAATATATTTTAGTTCGATTGTGTTGGAAGCCATGAGCTTATTGAAACACTCTCGAATCTGTTCCTGGAAGCAACCAGTACTGAGCAATGAAAGTAAAGTTTCTTGCTCGAGTTAACCAATGCAGTATTTCAGATGAATCGTAACATATTTAATAATAATAAATTTAAAACATGCTGAAATCTGTTATTGACTGTTCATAAAAATATTTTCAAACCAATTAATTGGTTAGTGTTATCAAATTAAAGTGGTCGACCAATTCAATTTTGTAAATGCTTACTAATGAACACTTACCTACTATGTGTACATTATTCTGCTAATTTAAGTATTCTTTTTTCTTCGTTTAGCACTGATTTCATGTAAGCGCCATTTGCTTTCAAGCCAATTTACTACACGTACATGTACCATTCAAACACTTGGTTTCTTTTTTTAAAAATTCAAATAATAGTTTTTACAGCAGATATATAGCTTTGTACACATTAGATAAAGTTAAACAGAAAATGGTTATTTTTTCATTGGAGAGGTCATCAGACCTCTCCATAGTGTTCAGACTGATTGATGGCGGCATCCATTTTTGCGTATCTGATTGTAGTAAATGAATCGCATTTACAGCTTAAAACCATTAGGAGCAGTCTACAAAATTTGTTTTGCGCATGCTCCGTTTCAAAATACGACTTAACTTAAACGAAAATTTAGCATCGAAGTGAACGAATCGGTACAAAGAAAAATCACGTTACTTAGCGCTACGTGGATGTTTCATTCCGTTCTAATATTTTAAAATTTTAAACTGTATAAATCGATTACAGTATTGTTTTCTGAATAGCGTTTTACTATTTTTTGTTCCGATAAATAGTACTGTCCTGATAACTTGAGCCTTTGTTTACATAACAAAGACCAATAACTATGCGAAACATAGGTTAGGCAGATCAATGCCACAACCTATAAAATGAAAATAAAAGTAAATGTTATCATATGTCTTTTTAGCGCTGTAGGTAGAGCAACCGTGTCGGTAAAGTGTTTTACCCGTACAGGCAGAAGTTCGAGTACTGCTAAGACACATTTTTTTTTACCCAAGCACAAAACAAGTTTGACCGGTATGACTAAGTACCGCAACGGGGATTTTTTGGCGCAAATAGCACAAATTTGACACAAGTTTGATTTTCTTAAAATATTGTGGTTGGAGGCATGCAGCTTTATATTCTGTTTATTCCAATCAAATGATATAAAACATTTTTTATGTAAATCCTGGACTTAAAATTGTCTGATTAACATACTTTATGCCCGTTTTGGAAAATGTAGAGGAAATGTTTCCATATACTTACCAACACATTAACCGAAAATTTGCTTATTGAATTTTACAAGAAACTTTCATTTTGATAATACTTTTAATATACATATCATTTCTTTTAAATTTAGTTCCCTTTGTATAAAAAGTATCCCTTATGCGCCAAGAAAAAAGTCCATTTCTCCGGCATATAATCTTTCAAAACATTAAAAAAATGAAGTGTAAAACAAACTTTCATTATGATACTGTATATTCAATTTATATAATAAATTATATTTTGATAAATTATTGTAATTTATAACCATTCATTGTGTTGTCTTATTTCCAAATATTTTCAAATTAAACAAATCTTTTACAGCAGCAAAAGGACCTCTCGCATGCTTCTTTTTAAAGAAGCAAACTTGTGTATTTCATTATTTGATGTTTACGTACATATCACTTTGATTACATTATGTTACCTGTATAACTCAACGCTATCTCATAACGAGAGTAACAATTTTAATATTGTCGGGGCGGTCACGTGATACCCATTCAATGCGATTTTTAGAGCTCGTGGTTTGCCATAAATGCTACATATCTGCGCAAAGTGGCTTTGAAGAAACCCGCGGAACGGCGTTAAAAAGTCAAAAGGTAAGTTTAAAATAATAATAAAAACATGCAGAAAATTTCGAGGCAAATATTGTTCAGATACATGTATCTGGATTTGGAGGGAAATCTTGTTTAAAAAAACAAACAACGAAGGTGTTGCAGCTGACATTAAAAATAATATAGTGTTTTAAGCAGTACTTGCCGGTTTTAATAACGACATTACGACGATGTCTAGAATGAGGAGTCCAACAATTAAATTACTAGACAGGTGGATATATCAGAATGGAACAGTCGGTAATTTATGGGCGAATCTCTTATTAACGGAAAGATTCGATACTTGTTGATTTCCGGGAGTCTGTAGGTATTTCTATTCCATATCATTCTGTCTTAATATCTTTGTTATCTTTATATATTGAAATAATTCCGCAGTTATTTTTCATATTTTTTATTTTATATATTTATTAATTTATTTATTTGCTTATTTTTTGGTAAAAACTTATATAATGGAGCACCGTGTAATTTAGTTATAAGTCTCGTTAAATGTTTCGCATGCTACTTTATACAACAGATATTCCACATACATAAATATAGGCCTAAGGTGTGGGGAATAGGATGACATCTTAATTAATTCAATTGTGGGAACAAAATAAGTTTAAAAATTTAAGTATATCCTTAAACATTATATTTGTTATTAGCTTTGCATTTTTTATAACATCTTTCAAGTGGAACATTACTTCCTGATCGATATACACAAAAATAAGGAATAAACTACATGTAAAATTTCGATTTCAAGATCTTAAACAAACTAGAAATGAAAGGGTATTCCCGCCGTTAACTTTTTAATTTATGGTCAAGCAAATAAATTTCCCGAAGTTTGATTTGCTGACACGTACAGTACGTATATCGCTAGCACAATGCATGTATAGTCTTGACTATACTAATGTCGGAAAGGACAATGATGATGACAACGTCAACGACGATGACAATGCTGGTGATGATGATGATGATAAAAATGTAAATGCTTCCTGAATTACCTGAACAAGACCGGTAAAGAAATTTGCACACTTTTGAAAAAAGGGCTTTAACAGTGGAGCTTTAACAGTGGATGGAATCACCTTGAATTTTAGAAGATCCGCATATACTTATTATGAAACGTCTTTTGACCTTTGATTTACTTCATAAAAAACCAAAGTCTCAGTGGTTTCATCAGAAACTAATCTTCATTTGGTATTAGTTCCTAATTTCGATGGTGTTGCATAAGTGATTGTATTTTATTATGTTTCAACACCATACTTTCTTCGCAAAAAATCTCGTTAGTAAGGGAAGTCACCATTTAAGTGCAGTATTCATCTCAATCCCATAAAAGCTGTAATCGCCTTTAAAACCAATACTATTTACTTTCGTTGATGAAAGTTGTTTACCATACTCTTGACACGACAGACCCGTTGTAAAGTGTGTCTCAAAAGGGTCATAAAATGCAAATTGAAAATAGTTGCATCCAAACAAAATATAATTTTTAAGAGAACGGAACAGAACATAGTGTAATATTATCTTAAAAATATGTATTAGGATTAAATTTTATCAACTCTAGGAGTGAACGTTCACACCATATCTATTTCAGTAGACTGTTTGACAAGTCAGCTGAAGATTCCGGGAGATACCCAGTAGAGACAGATCCTGGTATATCGAATGAACAAGATCCTGCTAGACTTATACAACGAAATCCTGGAATGTCGGATGATATACCTCGTATAGTTGGGGGAGAGGACAAAATGTATGATGCTTTCATATGCTGGTCTTCTGATTGTGAAATGGACCGACAGTTTTTGTATATCAATTAAAAGAAGAACTTGAGGTAAAACGAGAATATAAATTCTAAGTTCTACGATTACAGCATATTTCATGGCGAAAAGGTATCACTCACTTGCTTACTTTATGTATGACACTGATTATCGTTGAAGTGTGGATATCTACCCTCTCACCGCATGCAAAGAAAATCAGCTGATTTGTGCTGAATTACTATGTTTTAAATTATGTTATCATGTTCTGTAGGTTTTCATACGAAACATTTCAATGTTGGAATGTAAATTAAACTTAGATGAAAAAACTCTTCACATTAATTTTAATGCTGGTTCGAGGACTGCGTGTGTGACATGTGTTGCAATTAAGCAGACTGTGCTAGGCCATGCTGTAAATGCTGTATTGTTTTTACTCATTGAACACTGTTGTTTTTTGTTGTTGCCTTCACGCGCATAATTTACAACAACAGTGTCATTCTGTCTTTTCAGATGCCGTCGCGTAGTAATATTGTTATCTGGACAGTTTTTACAGGGAACCGCATGTGACTTCATTATTAAATTTGCCCATTCTCTACCACCAGGTAAGTTTAACAAGAAAATAAATCAACTAAAGACTAGCGAAGGAAATAAAGTTTTGTTCTGCACAAGCATTTATATCTACGGATAATTTGTGTATGTCCATCTGTGTGTGACAATTTTGGCCTTTCAGTATTCTAACTATTATTTTTGTATTCATAATATTACTGCGATTAATGTATAGTCCAAAATACCTTTTTCTAGCCCATATTTCACCATGTAGTTGTGGAAACTGGTATTAGATTTATACTCTCTTTCATTGATAACCTTAGCTTAGTACGTTTATGTTTCTTATGTATTTCTACATCTAATTATAGCTGCAAGAAGTAAGACACTTCTCCCAGTTATTCGTGAAAGAAATACACCAATACCCAGAATCCTTCGCTTTCTGACATTATGTGACTTCACAAGGCCCGGTATGAATGAATTGGTTTGGGACAAACTTTCTGCAGCCATAGTTGCGCCATCGGAAGATGAATCAAATCCATTTGACGAAAGTTTGACAGATTTAAAATATTCAACTCCAAAGCGTTTAGATGGACATGATGAATAATCTGGTCAGTCTAGAACTAGAAGTTTGCTGACAAGTTAGATAGATACATGCTTTTATATATATCATTTTACAAACATATATGCAAGATTAGAAAAAGCAGATACATTATATATAACATTGAATATTGGGGAAACATTTTCATGTATCCAACATCGCATATTTCAATGCATTTAAAATATCACTTGTATGCAGATACCGAAAATCGAAATATCAAGATTCATTCCTACAAGTTAACAAAGACATGTATAGGTACATATATATGACGAAATATCCACAGACACTTGGGGTTTGGAGCTCAAAACGCCTTTAAAATCCAAATAAAATGCATATTTGTCAATCCCAGCACATGTACTGATCATATATATCAAAAAAACTTAATATAAGCCGTTTTGAAAAAAAAAAATCATATTTCAACATCTATAATAATACACAAGATAAACATGTACGCCGGAAAAAATCCGCACCTATACCGTCATAATCACCATGTATTTTATTCCATTTCCAATATTTTCACACAATCCTTTGGTCCATCGACACAGAAGATATAATTCTTCACGATGATGGTCAATTTTAAACTTCAACGGTAATATAAACAAAGCAACAGCCGAAATAAACATCAAGATTATCGCCGTTTCTCTCCATTGACAAAATCTTTCCATAAATTCAAACTTTGCCCCAGCTTTGCCGTGTGCAAAATGCGCAGCGCTTTTAGGTTTGAGAGCCAAATAATCGGATGGCTTCGTTCATAGCCGACTGGTTTCCATCTTCATCATCGTGAAGAATTATATCTTATGTGTCGATGGACCAAAGGATTATGTGAAAATATTGGAAATGGAATAAAATACATGGTGATTATGACGGTAGGGGTGCGGATTTTCTACGGCGAACATTGTTATCTTGTGTTTTATTATAGATGTTGAAATATGATTTTTTTTTTCAAAACGGCTTATATTAAGTTTCTTTTTTATATATATGATCAGTACATGTGCTGGGATTGACAAATATGCATTTTATTTGGATTTTAAAGGCGTTTTGAGCTTCAAACCCCAAGTGTCTGTGGAAATATCGTTCAATAAATTATGGTAATTAGGGACTATAAATGACAATAAATTCTACCACGTGTGACGCTAAACTTAATTAACGCTGTATGTTTATCATAATATAGAATATTTGGACGGAACAAGACCAGATCCAATGTTTGAATTTAATGCTTCCTATGAATAAACTTATTATATCAGGGATGAATTACACCTTTGACTTAAGACTGTGTTAATAATAATATTACTATCAGTAAATTCATTTATAAAGCTTCTCATTTGCAATAAATTCCAGACTCGAATCTTGTTTAGGGCTTGTTTGTAACAGAATTAATCTGATATCAATGTCCACCTTATTACAGAAAATATTGAAATGTCAGAGATATTTTTACAAATTACTTAATTTTTTCTCTTAACCATGTATTTGCCCTTTATATATTTGTATAACATGCGATATAATATGGCTATGAATGTTATAACTTTATATGCTTAATTAATATTATATTATGTTACTTAAGAAATTAAAATTTGCAATTTTTTAAGATAAATGTTTTATCCACAATAAGACTGTGGTCTCATGCACATAGCAAACATTGTTATACTTACCTTTTCAAATAGTGAATAATATTTTACAGTTTATATAGTCTTAGATAAATTTAATTGGACATTAGTATAATGTAATATACAATATAAAATTGTATAATGCAAACAGTCGTAAGAAATTTTATTTGACAGGATATGGTTTTATAAATTTCATTAATTGAGTATGAACGACCATATATACATTATATATTTTACAAATATATGTTGCATCTGTATAGAACATTCATTGATTAAACCAATGTATTGTATTGATATAAAACATATGTTCATGTAAATTATGTTGAAGAAAACAAATCGTTGATATACTTAGGTTGGTAACATTTTGAGAATGTAAAGTATAAAGTATAATAATGATATACTTTCCAATGTTAAATGATATAAGTATAATGATAATTTTCTTCTTACCATTCGCATTTAAACATTTAAGCATTGTTTTATTCATTGTGTTCAATTTTATACCTTAATTTAAACTTCTGTAAGAAAAACATGCAATAGTGTAAATATATTGATGTTATGTCTTTGAAATACAATGTAGCTAGGGGGGACAATTCCCCAGTGCATAAAACAGTAAACTGATGTGATATGGTCTGTGGAGTTGTCTCCCTTAGAAACAAAAGTAAAAATAGTTTGTGATTCATGTTTTTTTTATATATTTTTATGTATACATGTAAAGATGAGGCATACATAAATAAATAAATAAATAAGTGTCAATCAGATATCATTACATCAGATAACGCAGCATGCTATGACGTACGTACAGGACACAATAGACTTACGCCCCGCGGTGATTCACAGTACAGCTTCCAATGAAGTGGACCAATTTAAATTGTTTTGTCGCAGATTGGCAAAATTTATCGTTGAACAGATTATGAAAGATGTTTGAAGTCCGATATATAACAGTCCGATCGATGCAGCAATTCTAAAGTCATGTTTTAATGAGATCATCAAGTTGTAAAGCATCCGCTAATTAGTTCGTTCACGCGATAATTGAGGAATTATATTCACAATTCCACATTTTTTTTCAAATTAATATGTAAAAGTACTTTTCAAATAGTGTAAACTATTATTTTAATGAGTTTTGTTTTGTACTAAATGCCAAATACGTCGTACACATTTGTGTTAAAGTTGATATCTTTAAAAAAAGCCGCAGGTAAATTTTGCCATAAATTTACAAACCTAATTTTTTTCTTATTTGCTGCAAAATGGAAACGCAAAAGAAATACTATGCAACAATGCTAAAAAGTATGAACTTATAACCATTCAAATAAACAACAAATTGATTCGAAAATATTTCAACAGAAAACAGACAAATTTTCAATTGTCACATATCTTCGCGACGCAGTTTAAAAAGAATCAACAAAATCTATTTTCATTTTTATTTTCTGAAATGGCATTGTAATATAACGATTATGAATGAAAATTATTTGCAGAAATGTTGATATGAATGAGGATGAATGCATTTGTCACTATATGTTAGACTGTGATTTTTATAACATAAGTGAATAAAGGTTGAAATTTGAAATGTTCTTATGTATTTAACACGGCTTATTTTGCAACAAAAGGACTTGCTGTTAATAAAGCCATTCACAGATATATTTCTTAAGCTTTAAAAGAGACTGGGTGTGTAAGGTCATGGTTAAGGGCACGATGACCTGATGCTGTAACTGCTGCATGCTTACAAATATTCTTGAAATCTGATCAATCACACATGCTCAGGGACCTTGCGTCTTGTTGTTACCAAGCACTCTTGTTCAATGTCTAGAAGAGTCACTAAGAGGTTTTAACTGTCTGATGGACAAAACTGAGAACATATCACCACAGATAGGAATTTTCCACGTCAGCAAGCCACAAAAACAAGCTATTCTTTACTAAGAAATTTCAAATAGAAACCTACTAACTGATGAAGAAATGATAAAGATAAAGAATTATTTATCAAGTGAAAATCTTTGTTTATTTGTTTTAAAGCAGCCAGGCAACAACATTCTGAACCTTCTATTACATGCAGAAGGGGGCTTTCCCCCTCTCTCGCCACACCCCAAATGTATCACAAATGTAGCGGGAACTCCCAGCAAATGATATCGTTATTGGGCATCCATTAATTCTTTCTTTAACATAAAACAAGAATTCACCTACATAATTAATTATATACACGTGTTCCCTATATCGTATCAATGTTCATAAATATTAATCGCTTTACAAAATAATCTTTTGACTGCAAGCTTTGTATATAAACCATTTGCGTTTAAAGTACTAAATCAAATAATTAACACAAAGAATATAATTTTATTACACAGATCAAGTTTATAACTTTATCACACCTGCCTTGTGATATATCGCCGTATGCTTTACCATCGTATGCTATATCAAAAAGCTAACACTTATGTTGAGGTCGCTATACAGTTTTTATGGTCATGAGAAAAGTTATATGATTGTATGTTATATCACCGTATATTTTATTTCGGTTATATGGTACACATTACTATTTCAAATCACTGGTTGTTATATGATCTCGTATGTCATATGACCATATGATACATCACAGTATTTCATCATACTGTATTCCATATTACCGTATGTTATATAATCGTATGTTAAATAATCCTATGCTGTGTCACCGTAAGCTACATCACCGTATATTATATGACCGTATGATACACAATCGTATACTATATCACCATATGTAACATCACCGTCTTTTATAAAACACTGTGTCTATAAAATCGTATGTAATATCACCGTACATCATATCACCATATATCATATGTTAAATAATCATATGTTGTATCATCGTATGTTAAATAACCGTATGTTATAACATAGTAGGTTATATGAAGGAATGTTATGTAAGAGTATGTTATATGAAGGTATGTTATATGAAGGTATGTTATGTAAGCGTATGTTATATGAAGGTATGTTATATCACCGTATGTTATATGAACGTATGTTATGTAAGCGTATGTTATATGAAGGTATGTTATATCACCGTATGTTATATAATCGTATTATGTGATTGTATATTATATCAACATGAATATTTACATTACACTAAAAGTCAAATTCCAATAATGTCTATAACATAAACGCGTGAAATAATAAAATGATATAAAAATATTGTCAGGAAGTTGAGATAAATTTACATTACAGACCAATACATTTCTGTGACACATGTACATACTATTCAATATAACCTGAGAGTAACTGATCAACCAATGAAAATATTGCTGTTTTACTTTCTTACTTTCACACGGGTATAAATCATTTACCTATTTACATCATAAACGTAAAGTCCCTGAGGTAACACGCCTCTAGACTTCAAAACATATTCAAATAACTCTTATCTAATCAGCAAAATGGAGGAGAAGTATGGTAATAAATATAATAATTTATGTCAACTTGTATAAATATCTATACATTTCTTAAAACTAATATTGCACGTGTCTTATGTTTGATTTTTTAAAATTTGTTGTTGTTGGTGGCGGTGGTGGTGGTGGTGGAAATTTTGATTACTTAACCTGGAGTCTGGAGACGTGCATTTTTTAAGAAATGCGGCAGTTATGCTGTAAAGTGCTTGCATGTTTCGTAGAATATGTACGATAGTTAGTCCGTGAACATAATGCAAACATCATGTTATATACCGGTATTTCACTTCGTTACATGCGATGATATTAATTATGTGATAATATATCTAATGATCTTATATCAGTAACTCAACAAAAAAGCAATCTTAGGATATTCATTATATACTTATAAATGAATTTTCATTGAAAAATATTGATGAAATAAAATGCATATTTTCATTTTTCGTATTTTCACCATAAAATTCACTGTAGTGAAAAATATTTTCGAATCGTAGGTCAAAAACAGAGAAAAAGGTATAGATTTATCAGGAAATTCATTTTTCCCTATAAATACGGTTTTTATTTTTCATCTCGTGGTATAAAAATGATCATATTTCACCCGTGGCTATTGTCACTCATAAAATATTTATTTTATATCACTCAGTGAAACTAAATCCCGTATCTTTAGAAGAATACTATCCTCTATTTCATTAGGTACACGTGTCTAAATGTATGAATATAATTTATATGTACAAGAAGTTACAAGGAATCATGACCAGGTTATACATGTGCAGGTTGATCTATTATATTTTTTATCTAACCTAAGATTGTTATATATTTTTAACTTTATACAGTGTTAGAGATGGTGTATTAATATTTTTAGCATTGTAAGCATTTATAAACAAGAAAACTACATAATCGATATTTTACTAACATGAAACCAATCGAGGTATCGATTTATCTACAATTGCCGATTAAAGTATGGACTACAGCCAGGTAGTTTACAAACCGCTTTCTATAACAATTTTCATTATCCAAATAAAAATTAAGCATATCGACATATTCTACTGTTCAATAAAACTAACGACCGTATTAAAATTATTTTGCCATATTATCAAGTCTCGGGTGCGTAATTTATATCGGAGTTCAACTGGTGAAAAGTTGAAACCTTTAAACAGATTTCAAATTTCTTAAATAATCATTTAAACCCTATTGAAAAAAATCTGTTGTATTGGACGAGACAAAACAGCTCGGATTTGACTTAAATTGAAAATAGGTTTGCATGATCAAACAAAAATGATTTAGCAGAGACTTAGTAATATCGGAGTGAAATTGTTACATACATGTAGTGTGATATGTTATTGGATATATTATCAATAAATTAGCAATTAGTACGTTTGTGATAAGGTTTTTACGGAAGTGTGGTATATTGTCTAGATTTTTATCGCCGAGATAAGATGAAGGTTTTGGCAGGGTATGATTTACGCTGAACAGCTGCTGCTTGCTAGTGTATACAAGGAAGACTAGAAAGATTCGGCTAGAGCCAGTGCATATACTTATATATATATAATATAAAACTGTCTCAATACGTTAATGAATAGAAAGTACAGTCTGTGATTCTAATTTATGACCAAATATAAATATTATCAATTTAATGATTTTTTGTCTACCAAGATAAGTGAAATAACGTTTTCAATGTCTGTAACTATAAAGAAGCTTATAATGGAAATACTAAATGGTTCCTAGCTTGCATCTATACGCCTGGGATAACTTACTAATAAGCCGACTACCCGTGACTTTGAATGAATAATTTATTTCAGATTGTAATTAAATAAAAGCGAAAGTAGTGCCAAACTAAAATCATTATCATCCTAGTTTCTAGTAATATAATTTACACATATCAAAGGCTCGTTAAGAGAGTAAGTCTTGTCTGTATAGGATATACTTTATTGATTCTCACAGCACATCGTTCTCATAGACTTTGTGTTAAACATTAACCAGACGCGTGCTTCGTGTAAAACTTGGAACTATTTTAAGAATTGATAATGTTTTTACATCTCGGGAATCTAGTATTGTGCTGCCAAGTAGCTGGTTAAGAGAAATTACGGAAGCTGAATTTTTTCAAAGTTATTTTTTTGCGATAGATGGATCATGGTATTATTGGTTTATGTCAGGTCTTATACTGTTCGCTGTAATATTGATATCTGATTAAGTTAGACTGACAGCGGAGTAACAATAACCAGTAATTTTCTGCTATTTTTGTCGCTCTTTTTTTCTATCGAATTGTGCTCATTGATTCCGCTCATTAATACTTGATCAGGAGAGAACATATGCGAGAAAAGCCAAACTTAATCAACAATAAAGTGTTAACCGCGGCTGTTCTGCTGATCGTCAGTTCGTGATTATATCTGGAATATTTCAAACGCCGGAATTTACTCTTATATATAAAATATATTGGAGTAGATAGGCCTAAAGGTGCGCTGCTTGAAAAGTGAGGCGAAGTAGAAAATTCTCCAAGATACGTACGTTAATTAAATCTGAAGCATAAAACATGTAAAACCGTTCTGTTCTAATTTTTTTCTCTGTGCAGTTTAAAATTTCATATTTGTAACTATATACATGATAAAAGGGAAATATTAAGATCAGGGTGGATTATAGAATGTGTGTTACACGGTGATATTACTCCTGTAGATGGCGATGTTTGAATGGATTGTGGAATGTCTAGTTTCCGATACCTACTCTTTACAGCACTACTGTTCCAAGGTAAATATTTCAATATAAATACATGTGTATATTCTAATGTCGGATTCTTAGTCTGCAATATAATTATGTCTCTGTTTTATCTCAAAATAAAAGCCCGTTTTTGTAAGAGAAAATATGCGTGCAAAGATTTACTAAGAACTATTTATTATCGACAAGGGTATACATAGTAAGATTCTGTAAAGCATTGTATTAGATAAGGTTACACACATAAACACAAAATATTTAAGATTTTGTCATTGATAAAGGATTGGAGGATGTTTAACTAAGAACTAGCGAAGGGATAATGAAATTCTATTTCCTTTCCGTCAATGAGATAAAGCCATTATCCTAAACTACTGTAATTACATGCAGGGCTTGTTTAAGTGGAAATTCAGATTACCCATCGAAGTCAGTATTTTCCCATTAGATTCATCTCATTCAGTTTTTATTAATCCTATATTTTCCTACATTTCGGAAAACCTTATTACTAGGTACTTGTGAGTTCGGCTATTCAATAAACAACAATCCCCATCCCCCACCCCTGAAGTTGTTAGTATCTTAATATCAGATTCCTGTAGTGTTTGTAGTGCTAATGGCAACCCCAAAAAAGTAACCACGCCTCAGTAAGACATAAGTCCATCTTGAGGGTAAAATGTGATGCTATTGTATCTTCAGGCCACACGAAGGTAAAATGTATTGTCCCCACAAGGGTAAAATCTATCTTTAGGTTAAAACGTGGGTAATATGTAATATCAGACTACGTCAGTCCACCACAAGGGTAGAATGTAATGCATACATATCTTCAGGCCAACATGAGGGTAAAATATAATGCCAGTCTACTTCAGTCCAATGGAAGGGTAAAATGTGATGTATGTCTTTCTTTAGACCATGTAATGTCAGTCTACGTCAGTCCACAAAGGTAAAATGTAATGTTTGTCTATCTTCATTCCCACCTAAGGCTTAACCGTAATGTAAGTTTTTTATTAGGTGCAAACGAGGGTAAAATGTAATACCAGTCTACCCCAGTTCACCGCAAGAGTAAAATATAATGTAAGTCTATTTTAGACGCATACGAGGGTAATAAACTGTAATGTCAGTCTATATATAGGTTAAAACGAGGGTAAACTGTAATATCAGTCTATATATAGGTTAAAACGAGGGTAAACTGTAATATCAGTCTATATATAGATTAAAACGAGGGTAAACTGTAATATCAGTCTATATATAGGTTAAAACGAGGGTAAACTGTAATATCAGTCTATATATAGGTTAAAACGAGGGTAAACTGTAATATCAGTCTATATATAGGTTAAAACGAGGGTAAACTGTAATATCAGTCTATATATAGGTCAAAAGGGCGGTAGAATGTAATGTCAGTCTATATATAGGTCAAAAGGGTGGTAAAATGCGATGCCAGTCTATATATAGGTCAAAAGGGCACGATGCCAGTCTATATATAGGTCAAAAGGGCGGTAAAATGCGATGCCAGTCTATATATAGGTCAAAAGGGCGGTAAAATGCGATGCAAGTCTATATATAGGTTAAAACGAGGGTAAACTGTAATGTCATTCTATATATAGGTCAAACGAAGGTAAAATGTTATGTCAGTCTATATGTAGGTCAAAAGGGCGGTAAAATGTAATGTCATTCTATATATAGGTCCAAACGTGGGTAAAATATAATGTCAGTCTATATATAGGTCAAAAGGGCGGTAAAATGCGATGCCAGTCTATATATAGGTCAAAAGGACGGACGGTAAAATGTAATGTCAGTCTACTGCAGTCCCACACGGGGGTAAAATGTAATGTCTGCCTTTAGGTCTAAACTAGGTTAAAATATCGAAGTGAGATATTAGAGACTGTTGAATAATGCACACATTTAAATTAAAACCGACAAAGTCATGTTTTTTTAATAATATTATTATTTTTATAATTATTAATAATAATAATAATAAATGCTGAAATCTCATTCAATCAGGTTAAATTTATTAAGACAAAAGTTGTTCCACATGCTGACTTTACGTGTAGATATTCTGTATAAAATCTTTATTTTTTGTTGGTCTTTAAAACAGGTTCGACTGTTTGACGGACTGATAGCTTTGAAACCATTATTTTACTTAACAACTATACAATGGTCTTGTACAAGTTTAGATTTATTTTCACTAGTTTATAACATTTTTACTTCAAAATACTAAACTTCGGTAGGCTGTGATATATAGTATGGTCCGACTGTGCGGTTGTTTATACTTGTGATACAGGTCTGTATATAAATGCCGCCAGAGATCAAAAGGTTAAACATATTGTTTTATTCAACTAAAGTAAATAATTATATTACGATTGTTTATCGTTCTATATCTAGGTAAAAAAGAAATTCTCGATCTCTTAAAGTTTATATATTTATACATGTATTTTGAAATGTTGTAATGATGACTTTATAGTTTTGTAACATTTGTTAAAATGGGCCAATTATCGTGTGAGAATCAGTTTTAAATCGGGCCGAGAATGGCTTTACGGTAAAAATGACAGCTGGCCAAGCAATGACATGTGGCCAAACAAGACGGGGTTTACACCTTGTATGTTTAAACACACAATGCCAACAGTTATATTAACAGACACAAATATGTCTAATTGTTTATCCATACAATTCTAATTGTTTATTCATACAAGTGGTTTGTTATGCATAAATAACATAACAATGGTACTTTCATTACGTTATTTCTTTATTATGTTATTTATCAACAAATATTGCTCAGATAATGACTTTCAATATTTACACATTCAAATTTCCAACTATTTTGGAACCTGAATAAATTTATCTGTCATGTTTAATAAAAGAACATTGGAACTCCCATCAATTTTTATAATTGATTTAAAAAAAAAATCCCATACATAAGTATATGAACGATTCATACCATGGAATTTTGTCCAGTGCTTTAGTCATGAAGGAAGGAAATATACAGTTAAAGTAGCTTATTAAGATTAATGTATAAATCTTAACAAATTTAGAATAAGAATCTAAACAGGCTAGTATTGCATGTGTACAGTGACTTTTCCGATTTTGAAAACGAAAAGTGAAAGAAAAAGATATACTTTCAAACGAGTCCATGAGAGTAAAACCAAACAGACCGAGGTTGATGTATACTTGTTTCTTCTCCTTTAAATTTGAGATAAATTGTGGTATAATAATCGACAGGTTATTACTGTTTTGACGGTATGTTCCAATTCAATTAAATTCATAATTATACACGGCTCTTAGCGTTACATACCAGAATACGATAAAGGAATTGAGAAATTGAATAGTTTACAAAGGTGAAATGTTGCGATAAAATAGATTGAATAAAACCTTTTCATGTTTTATCTATTAAATAAATAGTTGGATTTTGATTACTACGTATATCTGTACATATAAGGTCCATGTATATCTTACTTTTGGATCATAAAGTCAATACTAACACTTACACCGTAATGTTATCGTTTGTAATTATGCATAGACATTTTAAACCATATTTTATACCGAATCTATCTTCGTCTTTAAATTTTGATGACTCATCATTTCTTAATTGTTATAATGAACCTTGATGAATATCTTGCTAGCTGCGGGTCCCATACTTGGACTAGAGACCTCTAAACAGACCCAGACGTATTCTATTTATTAGTTAAGTTTGATGAGACGTTATCATTAACATCAACATTTCGTACCATCTTTTACATTTAATGATTGTCATTTTGTGACGAAATAAATTAAATTCTGGTTTGTGCAAGGGTATTGCTATTAAGGAGATTGCATTAAAAACAATTCTTTGCTGTTAAGGTTCCCTCTTTGAACCGTATAAAAATGAGATAACTGTAGAAAATTTCTGCTAAATTAGAATATTTTGATATAATCAAGTGAACCTGTTTCTATGAATGTCCGTGTTTCTATGAGTGTACATTTTCTTGAGTGTACATGTTTCTTTGAATGTACATGTTTCTATGAGTGTACATTTTCTTGAATGTACATGTTTCTTAGAATGTACATGCTTCTATGGGTGTCCATTTTTCTATGAGTGTCCATGTATCTATGGTTGTACATGTTTCTAATTGGTGTACATGTTTCTATGGATGTACATGTATCTATGGATGTACATGTTCTTTGAGTGTCCATGTTTCTATGGATGTACATGTTTCTATAAGTGCACATTTGCTTGAGTGTACCTGTTTTGTTAGTCCATACATTTTTGTATCTTGTGTATCGATGAATTAATCTTTATTTAACTGAATATACTAGTAATTTTAATACGAGTTCCTGTTTCAAATAATGTACCTGTTTCTACTAGTATGCCTGTTTCCATCACTATACATGTACCTTTTGTCACTAGTGCACCTGTTTCTTCTAGTGTATCTGTTTCAATCAGTGTCCCACACCGTAGTAGGTTCGAATCCCGCCAAGCACCTTTGATTCTTTCATGTGAGGAAGCTATCCTGTTAGCTAACGGAACGTCGGCGGTTCTACTCAGGTGCTCTCTTGTGCCTGGATAATGTACGGAGGGACTCTTGAGGTCTTCCTCCACCAGTAAAGCTGGAAAGTCGCCATATGACCTATACTGTGTTGGTACGATGTTCCATTTCTACTAGAGTACCTTTATTATCTTTGAATGTACCTGCACTTTCAATATCTGTGTGATCCATCAATCTCCATACAACATCACTATAATCTCTGTTTCTGACTTTTACAGTTCTTACATACCTCACTATATCATGCCAGTACCATAATACAAATACTTTAAGTAGCAGCACTAGCATTTGATAAACGTGTAGATGCAACATATCAGATAAATCAAAGTAATCTTGTCCGTTTTGTATGGATAAAATTGATTAATAGTGACACAAATTATATCAGCATTATCACTTTGAATGAGCGTCTTTAATATAAGAAATAAATAAATACAGGGTATACCTGACTACCTTAATACATATCAGAAATAAATGCGTGTATATACACTAGAACTCACCTTTAAATGAGTAATTTTGCATTGATTAGAA